ACTGCATCAACCGCAATCGCTCAACACTCCTCCTTGTCTCCTATCCGTAGGTTGGAGACACTCTGAAGAGCGGCTTGTCCCGGTCGCAGTAGTTGCATAGCGTGTAGGACTTAGCAGGCCTCACTGCATTCCGTAGTCCATGGCAGTTTGGTGAAGTGTGCACTATCCCCGTTTGCCGACACCCAGAACGGTCCATCGAACCCTGTGAGTCTGCTAGCCTCTATCATCCCTGGCCACACATCTGTTTGCGTACTCATAGTCCTTGTTGTAGGCCCTCTTGAGGACGAAGATGCTCGTCCCTCAGGCACCCTTTCGAACACCCTTGTCGCGTAGGTCTCCTCCGCATCATAAACAGGCGATGTCCTCGCCTGCTTCTTAATCTCTTCACGAACTGCAGCTTCCGCTCTTTCTCTGAGACGCTCCAGTTTTCTTTGTTTCTTTGTCCAAGAAACCCACCATGCTTTAATCCCGGTCATCATCTTCTTCAGCACTTCCCATAGGACAACACAGAAAACTGCACCCAACACCACAACCACGTAGAGCTCCATCGAGGTGTCTATAGGAATGTCCTCCTTAATATCTGCCCGCGCTCCCTGGATCATCAACATGCAAACCATCAAGAACATGACGATCCCCTTGTGGCTGAGTTTCCGCATTGCCTTAACAGCTGTATCAGTCAATCCTTCACCATACGGTCCAATCTTCCACAACCCCAACAATGTCCGGAACTTGGGCACATCGAAACTTTTAGTCCCTAAGTCAGCTTTCTGCAACTCGCCCGGCACGTGAGAGATGGTCAGTCTCTGTGCCGCTGTTTCTTGCCTCAAAAACCGTGCACGTAGTCGAAGGTGTCTTGTCTTCCAACTACCCGGTGCCTCTGAAGCAAGGCCTTGAGCAGCAGAATTATCAATCTTCAAATGCATCACAGGCCTCTGTCCCAGCTCATACAGAAGCGAGGCAACCCCCAAACCAAGCTGAACGGCGGATACGGCCTCGTAGAGCTCCGCCTCGGCAACCGACAAAGTAATCACCGGTTGTTTCGAAGCACGCCAGCAAACTGGCATACCGCACACCTGGGCCATAATACATCCAAACGAACGCCCGCCGCCAGGCGCATACGAGGCGTCGGAATACACAGTGAGCATGGACTCCTCCTCGTCTCTGACATAATGCAGCCCAAAGTAGTTCAAAACCCTTTTCGCTATCTCCAAGGTTTTCGTAGGATTCCGAGTCGCTCTGGCAGCCATACATGCCACCGGATGCGCCAGTTCCGGTCTTGAACGTGTCGATAACCACAATATTTCCCCCGTAGCCTTCTGGGCCAGCCGTATAACGGCCTCTTCAGCTTGTGGTAAGTCATCATCTGTGTCTTCGTCCTGCAACCAATCTCTTGTGCACGGAACCGTGAGGGCCATCTTCTTCTCTTCCACCGCGTGCTGTCGTAGTAGATCACGTATGTATCCAGCCTGAGACACATGAATACCTTCTCCCATTGGCCTGAGTTCCACCCCAAGAAATCGTAAATGTTCTTGATCCATCCATTGTAGGTCTGAACACTTCCACTCAGCCACCAGCCACTTGTAAACCGTCTCAATGATTTCGGTAACCGAGAGGATCAATAAGTCGTCGATGTAAATAAGAAGGATCCCCTGTAATTCAGGGTCTCCCTCGTACATAATCCTCCATATATTCTCCTCTGTCTCCAGACTCTCAAAGATCAGGAACTTCTCACCAAGCTGGATCTTCGCCTTCATAAACCGGTCGTTACGGAAGACCCCCCACCAACGAGAGGCCTCCCTCAGGCCATATAAGACCCTCTCTATGATCCACGTTTCTCCAGGTGCTGCTCCTCCTGCGGCCATGACTATTGTAGGGGGCGTCATTCCAAACAGTTTGTCTCCAGGCATAGGCGCCAGTGTAAAAGCATTGGATATGTCTGTAGCTGCAGCCCTCCATCGTTTCATAACTGTAAACGCCACCGAAAGTCGTAGTCCGTCCGCCGAGGTCCCCGAGGCGTAGACATTGGCCTTGTCACTGGGAAGGTAATTACCACAAACCACTATCCGGCATTTGCGCCGGAACTTCTCTTGGCCTTCTGTGGGCTGCTCGCTGGGGGGTTTAGCCGTAAACACGGCTTTGCCCGGTAGGACCACCATGCCCTGTGCCTTGAGCTCCCTGGCTTGTTCCGGGGATAATCGCCTCACTGTTCCGCTGCGCACCAAGGCTTCGACTTCCTTGAGAATAGCGGCCTTCCATTTTGGTAGGTTTCGCCGAGCTTCATGTAGTCCCACATTGTGCACCACCTCTAGCGGCCCGGATAAGGCTTCTAGGATAGGCTCCACATCATAGTCCGCCGCCGCACCAGGAGATACCTTAGCAACTCGCCGTAGGTCTCGTTGCTGGCCTTCTTGAAGTAGAGCTTCCCCCCATTCCAGATGCTCATTCAATACCCTTGGAAACGCACCCTCTACATCAACCTCCTCCTGTTCCAATGCACAACGTAGCGTCCTCATCTTGTGCTCCAAGGTGCTCACTTCAACCTCAGAATCATCTGAAGTACTCTTTCCCTCTGAGGTAGTGTCCCCCTCAACCGTTGCTCGCTGTACACCGGTGCCTTCCAGAGGAAACCCGCATTTCGACAAATAGGCCGATGTCGACAAGGATAACGTAGGGGCTCCCAAGGGTGTAAATGCCGCCACAATCCAACGTTCAGGTAGCTCGTCAATATAGGCATGATATTTTTTTGGGTTGAAAGCCACCGCCTTTCCTCCGATGCACACCAAGTTCCCTTCAATTACTCTTCCATCAGGGTACTCCTTTGCAAGTGGTTGCCAGTGTTCACCGCCACGAACCGCCGTAGTTTCTGAACCATTGGCCACCCACAACCCTGCCCGGGATTTTCCCCCGATCTCCATCACATAGTTCCATGAACCCACCTGGTTCCGTAGATCACGATGAGGGGGTATATCCGCCGCCTTGAACACTCCAATAGTAGTCCAACTCCCATCCTCCCCAAGATCCTCCGCAACTCTCAAGCGCAATACCATGTTGAGGTACTTAAGACTTAGTCAGTTGTGGCCTTCGCTTTCCCGACTTTGTCACTCCCCTCATCCCTCCATGTACATAAGCACTAAGGATCATAGAAGTTGTCTGCATGCCTCTGGCCTTGTTCCTCATAGTTCCAACCAACTCCATTTCCCCCAAAACCTCCGCGCAAGAGTCGAGGTCGAACTTGCCCATGTCGTAGAAGATCTTGGCCTTTTGTTCTTGTCTTTGTACCATGGTTCTCATAGTCCATCCACCCACGACCTTCTTTGGAGAGTCCTCATCCTCGGGTGTAGCAGTTGCCTGCATCTTCTCCAACATCGGCGGACTATTCTTCCCTTTAAGCCTGTGATCTGGTTCAGGTAGATCAACAATGGAAACACCATTTCCCGGAAGCTCATGTTCGCACTCTCCTCCTCCTGTGCTTAGAAGCGCCTTGGGGTCAACAACCCCCGTCCGCAAATTCAAGGTCTCTGTTAGCGCTCCAGTGGACCTCAATACAACAGCCCCGCCCTTGATCGTGTCCGAGATCCCCAAATACTTTCCCTCCTCCCATCTGTCTGTCAGGTCGTACTTCTTGTTGTTTCCAAAAATCTTTCGCCTGATCATCACCTTGCTTCCGAATGGTAGTAGAGGAGGTTTGGTGATTCCCAATCGATCATAAATTCGACGCTTCGCTGCATGTTGCATCGCCAACGTCCAGAACTTCACATTCACCTGCGCCTCCGCGAGGAGGACCTTGGCTCTGGTCTTGAACCACCTCACACCTCTTTCGGCTGCCCCGTTTGTTTGTGGCACCAAGGCTTCGCTTCTGGTGTGGTAGATATCGTGATCAAGTGCCACAGGAAAACCCATTAACTTCAACCTCAGCACCGCCTCCTGAATAGCAAGCATAGCATCTCCGCCGCGCTTTGCCCTTATCGGATACACCATGTAAATCGTTTCCAACTCCACAGGTTGCACCAAATCCCCAACCAACTTTTCCCACTGTTCTTCATCTTGTTGCAGGGCAGCTTCTTCTTCAGGTACTTCAGCAGGGGATATACGAAACCTTGTAGTTCCCGTCCACTCGCTTCCCAACGGCCTCGCACCAGACTTTGGTCCATGCCAATCCGAAATCTCTGTTTCCACCCCGCCACCAACATACTTCACCTCGGTGATACGGGTATCATCTAACTTTGCTGTATGCAGTGGGCAGCCATTGGTTGACGTAGGACGGAACAGAACTTTCCGAGGTACTTCATGATGTCTAATCAACACCCCTGCCGACTCCCGAAACTCCCACCAATCTTCCTTGTCCTTCTCCTTGACCCGTGCTGGACGCATTTCCACAACCTCTGCGGTTTCTTCCTCCTCCAACTCCTCATCGGCAAAGCTTGGGGCATACTCCTCGAGGTCTACATCCGCCAAGGGGTCTTGTAGCTCATCTTGCACAGGTTCCTCTAAAACTTCCCCCTTGCTGGACTTGACATCCAAATCCCAACCACCCAGCTCCTCCTCGGCGATGGGTTGATCTTCCGGACATAGCTTCTGTTTCGGGTATTGAAAGGTAAATACAATCGCGTATCTCTCTCCCTTAGGTCCTGGTACCCGAACTGGTCCCAATGTATCCGCACTCATCACATAGCAGTCCTTGTGCAAGCATCTCCGGTGAGGTCTGCCCGTAGCGTTGTGAATACACTGCAAGCAATCAGGTCTATGTGGAACATGATCATTGGCTAGGTGTCTTTCGCAGGCCTTTCTGTCCACCGCCTTCAATGCTCTAACCATCCGAGGATACCAACCTGGTCGCAACCTCCACCTTTTCCAACCTCTGTTCAAAACATGCATCATCATAGGTGCCCACATCGCCTTGGAACCCTTGAAACACTCATGTTCCCGTTCATCCCGAACACCTCGAAGCTCCGTGATGTCCATGTTGGTCACCATGTAGGTAGGCCTCCGAAGTGGATGCCCAAGTCCTCCTTGTTCGAAGTATAGCTTTTGTAGACCAATCTCGGCAACCCAATGCTTCATCCACCCCCTCTGTAGAGCTTTGGCACTGAAGTCCTCCTCCGCCTCTGAAGAGCCCCAAATGGAGATGGCAACCTCATCGTTGGGTACATCTGACAACTCACACATAGCCCTCCTCCCCTCTCTTGCCGTTTCAGCGAGAGCCATCATACGGACTAGATGATCATCAGACTTCTCATTTGGTATTGAGGACATGATCCCCGCAATGCGCCCTGTAGCCGCGCCCCACATCATCAGCATGAAGATACCCTTGCCCTGCTTGAGCACGTCCATCTGGGAATTCCTTAGGAGGTCCACATCCAAGACAACAGTGGTGTTGGTCGTCATTGGTCTAAAGATCTTGTCCGCCTCCAACTTACGCCCACTGTAAAATTTCACAACCCAGTCTCGATGCACCAAACGCTTTCGGTAACGCCTGTTGAAGCCCAGGTCCTTCATCAGCTCCCAAGCTTCCGCTTCGGTGCCCGGTAGGTCCATAACAATCTTGACCAGATCCTCTCTTGGAACATTACGCAGCCACGGCATTGACACGAAAGCCCGAAACCCATCCTCAAACTTGCCCTTGAGCACGTAGTCCTTCATACTTGACTGCCACTGCTCACAGCTCTCCACCTTGCAAGCCCTCATCAAAGCATTCTGAGTGACCTTTGCTTTCTCGGTGAGCTGTTGAAGTTTCTCCTCCTCAATCTTGGCAATCAACTCCAGGGCAGTGGTCTCATCGATTTCCGGGCAGCCCGTTGTCGTTCTTCGTGGTATCTCCCATCCATCTGGTCCACGTAGAACGCACTTCTTCTTGGTCCACTGTAGCTCATCATAGCTCAAGATAGACACCAATCCACCCACCGGCAATATAGTCTGTGACTTGCCCGCCAAGGGATCCGTGAGGAGGGTCCCCGTCTCTGTTTGCCGCGTCTTGGCCACACCGTCACCTGCTATCAAGACGTCCACGTCGGAGGAGCCTCGCCACTCGGGGTCCGTCGCCTGCCGAAGAGGATGTGTAGCGCCCGAGTCCACCAGTGCCATGCGAGATTCCATGGCCGTGACGGCCTTCTTCAACATCTTCATTGAAGGCATAGCAACATTGCCCTGCTCTGCCATCATTTTCAGAATCTGCGTAGCACTCCGAAGCAGGTCCTCGTTGCTCGTTGTCGACGTAGTTGACGCGGGTCCTTCGGTGGTCGTTGGGCCGTGTGCGGTAGTGGATGAGGTTCCCGTAGGGGTAGGTGGCACAGGTGTGCTGGATGTCGTTGTCTCGGGTGTAGGAAGAGGAACATCCTCCTTTCTCTCCTGCGCCAGGTTCTTAACTCTTGGTTGCCCAGAACCTCGTGAATCATCACCCTTCCTGCCACCTATCGATGTTCTGCTTCATGGGGCAAAACTTCCGCAAATGCCCTTTGCCTCCACAGTTCTTGCACTTGTCATGTCTATCCTCTTTTGGAACGTGCTGCCAATCATGGGAAAACCGGCACGAGGCTCGCTGACATCCAGTGTCAGACAAGAAAAACTTGCACGGCTTGGGAGTTCCACTGGGAGTGGGTGTTGAACCTGCCTTTGGCGTGGTAGTCGTTGACGTCTCCCCATTTGTACTCACATTCTTCACAGTGGGCAACGTAGGTCCTGCAGGCCTAGACCTTCCACGGAACGACAACTGCTCAAACTCTGCAAGTAGATGACCATGATACCGTAGGACATTCTGTAAGGTCGGCGCAGCATCAAGGTCCAAGCTATAACGCAGCATGTTACTCCTGAAGACGATCTCACCGTTCCTGTCCATCTGCTGCTTGCTTGCCGTGTCTAACCCCTTCAGCAGTATACTCGCGTCCGGAACCTGTAGGCCTAAGTCCTGGGCCCGCTTTAACCACCGCATCCACCGCCGAAGCACCTCGACCAAATCTGCCGGGGATGTGGCCCCTCCGTGGCTCTCAAGAGCGCGTAGAACCTGTTGTCTCTCAGCAGCAGACCCTGGACGATAAATTGTAAAGATTCGTCCCAGGATAGATATGGTTGAGCTAAGTCTATTGGCCATGAGCTCACTCTTCAAGCCCTCCGGGACCGCCTGTAACAGCATGCTTGCTGCCCGCTTGTCCAGTCTGCTCCATTTGGTGTCGCGCAGCTCCTTGGTGGCATAGTCCTCGGCACGTAGTTGAACCTTTTTCACAGTCGATGCTCCAACATAATCACAGTAGAAAGCATCTAAGGAAACCAACACCTCTGACCACCATCTGCTGCTTCCGTCGGTGATGTCCCCCATCGGCCCTGCTAGCCCATGCAACCAGTCTCCAACATTTATAGCTGCTTGATCATCCGGTTCAGGAAGCTTCGGTAGTTCAGAGCCGCTAACACCAGGCCTAATAACTTCTGCTCGGCTTGCCGCCATTCCCATTTGCAACGCCATCGCTGCTTGCAACTGTGACATTCCCTGCATCAGCGCCTCGAGAGGATTGGCGCCCGGGTCGATCTTCCGGTCACTGGCCGGCTCTGCTCCACCTGTCGCGGCACTTCTGGGAGGGGAGCTGCTTGCTCTTCGTACACCCAACGGGTTCCAGGACTTGCTTCCCTGAGGATTTCGTTCACGTACATCATCAAATAGCCCATGGACCCCCTGTGCTTGCGTATCCTGAAACGACCCAGAGACACCCGGTGCATGTACATTTTGAAACGACCCAGAGACACCCGGTGCATGTACGTCATATAAAAAACGACCTCCATGTTCGTGATCATGTCTCGAAAGTCCGGGTGGATTGCCTCCGGGTAGAACATCATTAACTACTCGCCCATCCGCTCGCTGACCACTCCTCAAGATACTTGCAGGCTGATCCCCAGAAGTGTTGTCAACAAACCTTGCACCACCAGCGCCCAGTCCCTCTTGAAAAGCCTCACTGCTTCTGGACCGTGTACGCTGGTTTCCTGCAGCTAGTCGCCCCCTCAGTTCGTGATCATGTCTCGAAAGTCCGGGTGGATTGCCTTCGGGTACCCCGCCCCGATCCAAGTCCTCGCCGCCTTGTTCTGGGCCACGTCCCGACTGTCCAGCTGGATTGCCTCCGAGTACTGCCCTTCCTGAAAGGTCACCTTGCTGCCCTCCATGATCGTGATCATGTCTTGAAAGTCCGGGTGGATTGCCTTCGGGAAGTATTGTAGTAGGAACGACTGTCATTGCACCCCGCCCCTTCTCCAAACTCCCAGAGCCACCCTCTATAAACTCAAGCATCCCTTGCCGTCGATCAGGTTCCGGTGCCGCTGCCGCCTCCCTGCTGAGCCGTTCAACCTGCTGCCGGAGCCTTTGATTTTCCTCGACAAGGCCTTGCTGTTGCTGTAAAGCTTGCTCCACCTGTTTCTTGACCTCCGCCTCCAGCTGCTCCTTTGAATAAGAACCCGAAGACTCCGACCCAGTTGCAGCAACTTGCGGTTGTCCATATAGCAAGGGAGCTTGTGACGTCATATCCCTCAATCTCCTGGTCTGGCTTCGAGTGAACAAAGGACTTTCCTCTGCTCCACCTATCCTCGCCCTTCCAGGTGACCAAACTGTCTCTTGAACAACTGTCGCCTCCAAGCCCGGCCTGCTCTGAAACACCATTGTCGCATGCCTTTGAACGAACTCCCCTATCTTTGAGAACCACCTCAACGCTGTAGCCCCAGCTTGTTGCCCTGGCCTCGTAGCGGATGTAGGTCCCTCCAGTTTATCAGCGCCTGCCGCTGGTGAAGGAAACGGTGAAGGCCACGCCAGATTCCTAGTTCCTGCGGGCACAGAAGAGTCCACTGCTGCGTGAGGTAACAATAAGGGGTCCCGGGCCGCTTCTCCAGAGCCTGTCGGCCTGTTTGCTTCTGCTGTACCACCATTGCCAGCTATCTGCACCAACCTGCTGCGGCTACCCTCGTCGGGCCCGTCTGCCGTAAACGTCGTCGCGCCAGTTCCGGTGTTCGCGCCCGATCCGGTTTCCAACGCTTGCCTAAAAGCATCATCATCGTTATCTGCGTCCTGAAACCTTCTCGTCGGTCTGGAAACACCGTTTGGCAGCTGCTGTTGCTCGGCCCTTCTCTCATGCCCTTGCGCAGCCACGCCACTTGGGCTCATCACCTGTTGATCAAATGCTTCTGGAAGGGCAGATAAGTCAGCTGGTCTTACGGGTGGATTATCACTGGATGCCGCCTCGTCCATGACTAAGCAGCTACGAATTGATTGGCCTTAGCCGCCATCACACACTTTTTCCGGATCTTGAGCCATTGTGTTTCGACGTTCGATACATGCGGCTACTGTACAACTTTACAAGCCACTAGCAATGCATCTCTTGTGAACAACGGCATGCGACGTACTGCATCAACCGCAATCGCTCAACAAGTTTAGGGTTTAGGGATGTGCCCTAAACCCTAAACCCCTAAAGCCCTAAACCCTGCCTAAATCACTGGCGTATATCAGTGTATCCCCGAATGCCTGAACCGAGAGACCGTGAGACCCAACCCTTCAACTCCGTTTGCCCCTCGACCCGAATCCGAGCCTAAACCCGAAACGATGAGAGTTAGGGTTAGGGGGACCCTTGGGGATATGGACCCGCTCAACAAGGTGCCTTTTAAGAGAGCCATAAGTAGGGGTAAGAAGGGTCCCCTTTAAGGGGTCTCCCTAGTACTACCTAGACTATAAGGGCTCCGAAGGGGTATAAGGCTTCCTATCAGGATGCAAGACTTCCTAAAAGAATGGAGCATAGCAAGTACCCCTAAACAGTTGGATAAGTTGACTGGGACTGCCCGGCATGGCAGGTCATAACCTTTACACTGCGTCTGCACCAGGTGCAGCCACTCGACAGTATGTCGACGGCGTAAGGACTTCGCGAGAACAGCCTCAAGGTCGCGATAAGTGCGCTGGAGTCCTTCGTCGTCGTGGCCATTGCCAACTGCTAGACACGCTAAGTCTCCGCACTCACCTTGGTGTGTGAGTACGTCACAGTGGCACTGGTCACCATTGATGAAGGCATCAATGAGCCTGTCAGGCTCACTGATGTTCCATATGAGCCTCCAGCGCTCCTCGAGAGCTTTCTTCTCCGAGTGACCCTCCCCTGTTGGGAACAAACACGCGGGGTCCTGGAGGTTAGCTTTGACTCTCTCCGCCGGGTCGAGAAGATGGACGATGTGGGACATCGACGCTCTCAGCGCCAGGCGAATCTTAGTCATCGCTATAAGCTCTGCGGTCTCCCTAACACCTAACCCCTAAACTCTAAACCCTTAAACGCTAAAGTCTAAACCCTTAAACCCTAAACTCTAAACCCTTAGAACCCATAAACCCTTAAACCCTAAACTCTAAACCCTTAAAACCTTAAACCCTTAAACCCTAAACCCGCAAACCCCTAAACCCTTAAACCCTTAAAACCTAAACCCGTAAACCCTTAAACTCTTAAACCCTCAAACCCTAAACTCTAAACCCCTAAACCCTAAAACCTTAAACCCCTACACCCCGAAACCCTAAACCCTTAAACTCTAAACCCTTAAACCCTAAACCCCTAAATCCCTAAACCTTAAACCCTTAAACCCGAAAGCCCTAACCTTCTCCGCAGCCTCGACTGGGGGAGCCTTCGGAACAGGCGCCCGACAGCGGGGCCTGGGAGTCAGGAATTCGGGGTTCAGGGGTTCAGTGGTTTGGGGGTTTAGGGGTTTAGGGGTTTTAGGGGTTTTAGGGGTTTGGGGGTTTAGGGGTTTAGGGGTTTTAGGGGCTTTAGGGGTTTAGGGGTTCATGAGCCGAGATAGCTAGGGAATATCGTATAGGGCTTACGGTTTAGGGGTTGAGGGGTTTAGGGGTTCAGGGCTTTGGGGTTTAGGATTTTATGGGTTTAGGGTTTGTTCGGTTAGCGTTTAGGTTTGTACATTGATTGCGGTGTTACATGATCGTGATCGACTCTTCGATTGGGGTCGAAACTGCACATCGTGCTCCGGCAAAAACCACAGAATAACTGTTTGGGGAGTATGTAATTACCTGAAAGCGTATAAACCCCAAACCCAAATAATTAACGAACCCAAATTCCTTGCAACCGACAGCCCGCACCCAGGAACGCAGGTAAAACCCAAATTACAAGCCTCCGCGAACTTAACACTCACAATGGGTGTTTCGGCTTAAGGTCTATAGGACGTGGGGCTCAAGGCTTGAGCCATGCAATGAGCTCAGGGTTTTTATCGATTTTAACTTAGGATTCAAGGTCTAAACACCTAAACCCTAAACTCTAAACTTTAAGCCCCTAAACCCTAAACTCTAAACTCTAAACTCTAAGCCC